TATTTGCACTGCTGACCTCGTGGGCCATCTGAGGGTATCGATCTTGCTTGCGTGCCACAAACCCAGGTCTGCAGCTCACTCATGATTCATTAGTCACCCAGCATTCTTTGAATACCCTTTTGAATATCTATTCTTTGAACATCTCCTTCTGCTTCAGTTAACCTGAGTTTGTTTCTGATGCCCGCAGCTAAGAATGTTGCCTTATATAGAAATTGGTGCCAGGAGTAGTTGCAGGCAATAGATGTTGGAGGAAATTCCGAGAAGCTGGGGCGGATTATCTGGACTGCTTAGGCTGGAGACAGTGAAAATCCAGCACGTAAGAAGGACTCTGGATCCCTCCAGCGTGCCGAGGGAAAGAGGCATTCAGGTTTGCTGCCGGGAATCACCTGGAACCAAGAAGCGCCTGCTGAAGGCACGGCTTGGAGGCTGAGCTGCTAGCCTTGGGAGAGAATGACAAGACTGAGGAATTAGACGGTGGGTGTGGGCGGCTGATTCTCACAGGGCCGGCTCGTTGAAGAAACAGAAGACAAGCTCCCAAGCCCTAAATTCTTGGCTCAAGACCCAGCTCAGAAACTGAGGACTTCTACGCTTGCTAAAAGCACCTCTTCATTTTCGCAGCCGCGAGGACGAGAGAGCCAAAAATGCAGCTCAGAATCCGAGCCTGCAGAAGGGCGAGTGAACTTGCTGGCTGATGCCACAGCCTCGCCAGCCCTGCCCTGCGGGAGTGAGACTGCTGAGTGTGAACGAGCGAGCTCCGCGTTTGCAAGGGGCCACAGGGAAGGGTTTGGGGCGGCGGGGAACCTTCTGAGCCCCCAATCCCCACCCAGCCCTGCATTGCAGGCTGAAGCAGCCTCTTCTCACTGTCTGGTGAGGCTGGTCCTACATCAACGGGGCCCCTCGAATGGCCCCCCCGTACCCTACTGCACCTCAGTGTCGCCAGTCCACAGCTGGGTCCCCGATTGCCAAAGGGATGCGGCAGGATTGAATATCAATCCAATCCAAACCGGGCTATCTCATGTCATCACAAACCTGGTGACAGTGTGTGAATGGCTCGCCTGAGTGGAACCCACTAACACGTGGGCCGGCCGGCAGCGCCGGATCTGGGTGCCAGCCTCAGCCCTGGGGGTGGCTCTCCTGGTTTCCGGGTCTGGCCCGTTGGTTGGCACAGGGCACTGAAGCCTGATTCAGCAGCGGCCCACGCTCAGTGAAGCAGAGATCACAGAAATTCTGAGTATAAGGTGGAGACAGGGTGCGGATTAACTACAGGTGACCACCGCACCTAACCACAATCCCTGCAGGAGCCCGGAATGCCACCGTCCCTTCCCCAAGACGGCACAAGCCACCTTGCTGAGACAGCCCAGCGCCTCCCAGAGGCCTCGGTGTAATGTGGGAGACGTCCAGGGTGGAAACCAAGACGCCTGGGAGGGCAAAGGCCCCTGGCGGCTGTGACTGCCTGGGATTGACAAGCAGGAGCTGGTGGGGCTAGCGGAGCACAGGGTCCCCAGGGCACAGCGGGTGAGCGACCCACAAGGACCTGTGGCTTTTCTAACCCCAAAGGTCAGGTAAACAGGGACCTGACTTGAGCCCCTGGTGTGTCCCCAGTCCCAGACCCCAGCCAGGGTACAGACGCAGAGTGCCCTGAACGAGGAGAGAGCCTGCTGTTACACTCAGTGTCTGTGCCATGGAGCCCCAAAGAGACTGGCTGCTCCCAGGAAAGCGGTGTGCACGGGGAGCCGGGAGGGGTCTGGGCTCGCTGAGTCCTTGTTTCCTCATCTGTAACACGAGGATAATAATATCTGCCTGGAAGGATTGCCGGGTTAATTGAGTGGAATAAGGGGACAGTGCCTGGAATACAAATGCGCGCATTGGCTGCAGCTGAACTTTCAGTCCCTCTGTGATGTCGTGTGCATTCTTTCCACTGTTTCCATCTTCACGCCACCGTACTGCGATCAGCCGTTTGCTGGGTGCCGAGAGTTAAAAAATAACCCCTGCCATCGACTGCGGGCGCAGGATGCCGCAGCCCTGCCAGGTCGCGCTGCGGGAGGCAGCCGTGCTGGGGCGGGCACCGAGCTGTGCGTGGCTCTGCACTGTGGCACCGAGCTCCTCGGATGTTGATCAAATGAGATGCAAGTACAGGGCTTGGGCCATGGTGACGGTGACAGAGGGGAGAGGGAGGAGCGGGATAGACAGGGGGCGGGTGATAAATGGACGGCTGGTGGATGGACAGACAGATGGGGGGGTGAGTGGGTGGCTGGGTAGGCAGGTGGATGGCTGGGTAGATGGATGGACGGACGGACAGATGAATGAGTGGGTGGATGGAGAGGTGTATACACGGAGGGAGACGGTGGCTGGATAGATTGAGGAAATGACTTTGACACGGGACCAACCCTCGAGGATCATCCAGTCCAGGAAGATGCAGCACTAAGCAGGGAGATAGCTCAGAAGCTGACCTATCTCTAGTTAGTGACACCCTCGGAGTCTGCAGTTTCCCAGCCACATCGCGGTGTGTGTGATAAAGATCAGCCGGGCAAGCTGGGGCTGGGCACCGACCCCCTTGCTTGCTCCCCTCACAGGCCTGCATGGTCGTTCGCTCAGTGGGCATTTACTGAGCGCCTACTATGTACCTATTCGAGGCTCTGGGGGACAGAGTCGTGAACAAAACAACTCCATGCGGAGCTCCCGTGGGGGAGACAAGGCCGAAGAGGACAAGTACGGCGGAGATAACTAAAGCAGGGTGATAAAGGGGTCTCCGGAGCAGGGTCCACATGTTTGGCAAGGCTGGACAGGGCGGGGCTCCCTGGTGGGCTGACACTTGCTTGGAGGCTGAAGGAAGGGCACGGCCAGTCGGGCCGAGCCCTAGAAGGAGCAGTGACATTCCTAGGATCTCATGGTAACCAGGAGGCTGAATCAGGACTATAACCCAGGTTAGGTACAGGTAGTGGGGTTCGGGGGCTCCCTAAACAGAGTGGAGACACACCAGATACAGTGGCAGTGGAGGAGGACTGTGTTGGGACCCGGCCAGTGAGGAGCTGCAAGATCCTAATTTCCCGAAGACTGTTTGGCATCACTTCGCCACATGTTTTCTTCATTCCTTAACACAATCTTGCCCGTCAGTATTAAGAATTCACAGGTAGCCTTGGCTGGAGCGGCTCAGTTGGTTAGAGCGTGGTTCCGTAAACTGGAAGGTTGCTGGCTCAATTCCCAATGAGGGCACATGCCCAGATTGCGGGTTCGGTCTCTAGTCCGCACGTGTGAGAGGCAACTGATCACTGTCTCTCTCTCGCATCGATGTTTGTCTCCCTTTCCCTCTCTCCCTGCCTTCCCTTCTCTCTAAAATCAATAAGCATGCCTCAGGTGAGGATTTAAAAAAAAAAAAAACAACTCACAGATATTTTGCTTTATAAGCAGTAAACATTCATTATTTTGTTATTTTATGGAGGCAGCAAGTGCAAGCCTCCGAGGAGGGCCCAGTGCGGCTCTGGTGCACGCGCGCCCCCAGCTGCCCTCTAACTCCTGTCTGTTGGTTACGCTCTCCCCCTCCCCTGCCAGCCAGAGCCTTCCTTGGCGCCCTGGAAACCCAGGACACTGGGAGTTTGGGGGAGGGAGAGGGTCCTACACACAGGGCCAGGCAGGCAGGGGTAGGAGTTTCCAGGTAAACCCCTCTGCCCTGCACCGCCCCCCATCCCACCAGTGGTCTCCGCGTCCTCAAGCCCAGGGCTAGGAATCCTATGGGGAACTTAAACCACCGTGTTGTAACAGCCCCCCACAGAGACAGACATGTGCTAGGGCTCAAGAAGGTGAGTGAATGAATGAATGAATCAATCAATCAATCCACCAGCCAATCACTCAGTCAGAGGGAACCCGTGTTATTGATCCTAACCTCAGCCAAGTTGTCACCCAGCTTCCACTTCCACACTTCCAGTGACAGGGAGCTTACTGCTTCCAGTTTTAGATCATCCTTAAAATGAGTCAGATTCTCCACCTCCTGGATTTCCCCATCAGCCCCCACCAGCCTGCAGGTGGAACCCAGAACACACCTAACACCTTTGTTATGGGATGGTACCCAAGTCTTCACAGGCGAGGGAAAGCAGAGAGCCCTGCAACCGGACTTCAGGGCCCTCAAGTCTCCTGGCCATCTTCTTGTGTTTCAGGTGAGGTTTTGGCCAGAGAGGGGCTGTGACTTGCCCAAGGCTGCAGAGCCAGCGAAGGACTGGACTAAGGTCAGACTGCAGGCCCAATTTGCAGCCACGTTCCTTCAAAACCCCAGCGCCCCTCTGGGACCTCCTCCAGCCTTCCCCATGTTGAGAAGCCCCTCCCAACAGTCAGTCTACCTGTGGCGCTGAGGACCTGCTTGCCTTACAGAGACCCTCAGCCTAGAGAGAGCCTTCTCTGGTCACCGCCCGCGAGAGGCGCAGTGCCGAGGCCTGGGGCCCGGATGTCCGGAGCCACTGCAGGACCAAGACCGACAGAGGGGGCCGTACGGCTCTTGCCCACTCCCCCCAGACAGAGGCCTCCCCCTGAGCAGCAGGTCCACGTGTGTGCGCACGCATGCAGGACCACGTGTGTACTTAAGTGTGCGCCATGCCTCCCAGAGCGAGAGGAACACGCAGCAAGCTGTCGGCAAAGCCTGCCAACGCGGAAAGGGTAATCGTCACGCACGATGCCAACAGACAGACCTCCAGCAGATTCATTTGGTTTGATTTTGTGGTTATTTTTTTTACAACTTTAAATACGGAATATAAATAAATTTTACATTTAAAAAATAAAAGGAAAGCCCCCAAAAATATAATCACCGACTTTACAAACTGAAGGAAGCAGATTTTGGAGAGGGGGAGGGGGGAAGTGCAGTGGAAGGTGGGAAGGGGGTGGCAGCTCAGCGCCCCCCTGCCCAGGGCGCCGGGATCTTTTCCCTTCCTCCCCCACCCCCCCCAGCCCAGGAGCTGCCTTCCTGGGAGGAGCCACCAGAGGCAGAACTTAAAAGGATTGAAGATGGGGGAATGTGCAGGGGGGAGCAAGGGCTGCCCCTCCCTGGGAGAGGTTCTCTTGGGTTTTCACACCTGCCTGGAAGGGGGCTGCTTGAGCTGAGGACCTGGGGGAATGGAGGCCGGGGGACCGCGTGGTATCTCCTTGTCCCCCACCACAAGGCTCTCTCCTGCCCGCCTGCTCCAAGCGACAGGCTAGGTAGGGGCACAGCCAATCCACACAGAGCCTTTGTGTCCGTCAGGAAAAGGATCCCTTTTCTCAAGGCATGTTACCTCTACCTGCCGGAAAATGGCCACCATAAATACACAAAGTGCCCCCGCGATGGTGTGAACAGTGACCCTGCCCGCTGCTCCCCTGGGCAGCGCACACCCTGCACGACCTGAGGCGGCACTCTCGGCTGGGCTGGGGCGCGCGGGGCAGTGCCCTGCTGCCCTGGCCCTGGTCGTCCAGCCTCGGGAGCAGCCCCTGGGCTCATCAGGGGCCTCAGTGAGGGCTGCTCCTTGGAGGGGCAGAGTGAAGGGCCAGGGCGAGAGGAAGATGTAGCAGGGAGGTAGAGAGGGGAAACAGGAGGAAGAGGTGGGCGGGAGAAGGCTGTGGGTGCCCGGGCCACCATCCGCACCCACCTGCCGAGCCAACTTCATCTCTAATGCCTCTGAGAGGGCACCTGGCTGCCTGGCGCTCGGGCCAAACCTGCCCAGAGGAGTCCACACCTTCAAAGATGCCATGTGTATAAAATGAAAGAAAGCCAAGTGAGCAGAGGTGATGAGGGAGGAGCGGCTGGGCCTGGGCGCTGTGGGGGGAGGGGGGCGGCGGGTTGCTGCAGTCTGTGCGCCCACCCCGGTCTCTGCCACAGAGGTACGAGGCCTCGGCCTGCGTGCGGTGTTCCCATCGGAGCTGGCTGGGGGGCCAGGGACCGGGCAGACCACGCCGGGGCGTCCTCAGGGCCACGGGCGGGGCTCCTCGAGCCAGTCCACAGCGCTTGGGGGTGGCTCGGCCAGGCCAGGCGCTGGGGAAGGGCGTCCCTTCCCCCATCAGTCTCTCTTGCACTCTTATCCCAGATTCTCGGGGTTGGGGGGTGGGGGGAGGAAGACTTCGATGGAGTCCAGGTTCTTCATTTCCTTCTCAAACTTCCAGGCAAGATGCTGGAGGCCACTGAGGGGAGACCCGCTTGCAGAGGGGTGACAGACGCGTGGAGGGGTGGGGGAAGCACCATTGGCCGTCCGAATCAGGCATCGAGACAGACGGACGAGGGGAACAATATTATCACTCCAAGGACCCCATGGGGGCGATACAGCAAATACCATATTAAATAACCCTGTAAGCCAAGCAGAGGGACACAGGGGCTCAGAGACAGCCTCGGTGCCCCGTGCCGCACTCGCATGCCCTGCTCGCTAGGGGCGGGGCGCCGGGGGCAACCGGGAGTCCCTGATTTCCAGCAGCGCTCAGGGCTGGCCAGTTGAGGTTTCACCTGCCCCTTCTCTGAGGGCAGGCTGGGACCCCAGTGGGGCTAGGGTCTCCGAAGTCCCCCACCCACCTGCCCCAAGGGAAGACTCAATTGATAACTGGGCGGAGGGGGTCAGAGCTTAGGGCTTGCATTTTGTATGGGAAAATGCCTTTCCCCCAACTCCTCCCACAGCCCAAGCCACAGGCCAGGGAGAAGGAAACACAGGGTTCTGGGCCTCAGTTTCCCCGCCTGGTCCTTACCTGCCCACACTCTCCTGCCGACGCCCCTAGGCTCCAAGGGTCTCCTTCAGTGCCTTCTTGTTTTCCGTGTGCTTGAACTTCCTGTGCTTCCCCTTGGGGGGCCCGCGGATGCGCACTGTTCTAACGGCCACCCGGGTCTGGGGCATCCTGGCTGCTGGAGAGGAAGAAAGTCTTGTCAGCCAGTGGGCAGCCCTGTGGGGGGTTCTATTCCTCTCCACCGAGACCGGCCAGAGGCCTCCCATGAGCCTCTGTGCTGACGGAAGGCAACTCCACGGCTCGCCAGCTGCACACGCCTTGGGAACAATTACTGAACTTCTCCATATCTCCGTGTCCCCATCTGTGAAACAGAGGTGATAAGACCTCCCACCGCATAGAACTGGTGGAAGGGATAAATGGCAGTGGGCTGGCAAACACCTCATTAGCCCTCTGGCGTGCCCTGTATTTCCAGGCCCCTTGAACCTGGCCCGAACTTGGATCCATTAACCCATAAAAGGGGGCGCAGCAGTGCTGCGCCAGCTCCAGGCACAGGCCTTAAAAAGGCCTAGCAGCTCCCACCTGTGCACTTTGGGGGGCCCTGTGCCACCCAATAAGAAACCTGGTCGTCCTGCTGTGGAGGCCACATGGGGAGGAGAGGCCCTGGATGACAGGAAGAGGGACAGAGGCCAGCTGTCCTGGTGCAGCCTCCGGATGGCTGACTGCAACTACCAGAGATACCAGCAGAACCGCCCTGCTGAGCCCCGTCCGCCCACAGACCGGAGAGAAGGAGATGGCTACCATCCCTGCCACAAAGTTCGGAGTAAGCACTGATCAGCGAATGGCCACCGCTCTTCTTCACTTGCCTCATTTCCTCTGCTTGACCCCTATTGAGGTTTTCTCCCACCAGCCTTTCAGCCCCTTACAGTCCTGTGATGGGGATCCCCTGGGCTTCTGGCCAGAACCAGACGCCCCACCACAGAGCTGGCCCTCTCCCTCACTGTGCCTGTCATTGGCCTGGCCTTCGCCACTGGGAGAAGTGGCACAGTGCGACAGGCCAGAGCCCGGGCACTGGGCCGGACCACCTGGGTTCAAATCTCCTGTGTGCTTTGCGGCGAGACGGCAAACTCTCTGTGCCTTGGTTTCCACATCCTTAAACTGAGATGCCAGCAGCCCTGGCCTGCTGGGGTTGGGACATAATACATAGAAATAGCCAGAGACCCTTAGCTAGCACTTCCCACGCCCCCGCAATGTTCTAGGCTCATCTGTCCTCACGAGGGTACAAGGATCTACCTTTCACAGGTGAGGAAACAGGCAGAGAGATTGGGATTTAAACCCGAGATCTGCCGCTAGAGTCCACACTGTCAACTGCTCTGCTGTAAATCAAGGTGTCTACGAGCCTTGGTCTAGGTCAGCACTCACACCTCTCTTCTTCCGGGGCACCCAGGCAGACACCCAGGCAGTGAAGGCTTTCTCTGCCAAGCTCAAGGGCCCCTCTTCCTGGACCCTTCTGAGTTCTCCTGGCCCGTCCGGTGCTGTGGGGCTAGCACCTGACCTCCCGCCTTGCATGCAAGCTCCCACGAGGCAGTTACATCATCTCTGTGACATGGGGACTCAGGGCCTTTGCGCCAAGAAAGCCACAGAAGGGCCCGAGTTTCTGATCCAGGGGCCAGGCTACCAGCAGGACACTGGGCTGGCAACACCCGAGCCAGCTCAAAGTTGTCACACAGCTCGCAAGGGATAGGACAGAGCAGAGAACTGGAGCCCAGAGAACTGACAGTGACCACATCACACAGGCCACATCACCAGCCTTAGCCCAGGCCATGGACGGCCGCCAGCGGTACTGTCCCTCGGGGCCAAAACACTAAAACTGAAATGGCAAGACCTTATCTACATGCTCGCTGGTTCAACATGCCTCCCAAGAAACAGGGTGGGAAAATCATGTGAACCAAATGCATGTGGGAAAAAAAAACCCAAAAAAAAACCCCATTCTAAACATAAAGCAGAAAACTTTTCCGGGATAGAAAAATCCTTCTCTGTGTTAACTCTGTAAATAATTTACAACGCATCAGCTTGAAGCCGTCCAATCGTCAGCCTTCGCAGAGCAGCGGGGCCTCGACTCGGCCCTGAGGGAAGGACAAAGAGGCGAAGAGGCGGCCCTGCCTGCAGGAGGCTCGTTAATAAGGAACAACAATGCCACTCTTCTGTCCCCTCGCAAGAGAAAGTTACTGACAATCAAAACAGTAACTTTTTTTTTTCTTAACATTCAATCACATTAACTTAATGATTCTCACTTGATTCTTGCGGCAAACTTTTGAGGAAGAAAAGGCAGCCAGATACAGTCTAAAGAACCCAGAACTAGGCGTTATCAGACCTGGAACTAGCTGTGTGCCCTTGGGCAAGACCTCAGCTTATCTGGGCTTCAGACACACCCTCTACAAAATTAAACCGTATTGTTCCTGTTTCTTTTCTTTTCTTTTCTTTTTTGGTCCCCTCCAACTCTCTAAGCTGAGCTGTGCCCCTGATTTTTAAAACCTAAAGATAGGAAGGAAGCTCTGGTTCCACTTATCCATTTGATGCTCGAACCCCGTCTCTCCTGTCCCAGCCGCAGGGCTGCCCAGCCTTCACCGACACACCTCCAAAGACAGGGGACTCACTCCTCCACAAGGAAAACAACTCCATCTTGGATGCCTGGCTAGTAGATGGAATTAACATCTCTGTCTGGGCTTTGCCCCCGCTGGTTCTAATTCCCACCCCACCCCCATTCCAAGGCCACAGGAATTAGTTTGTTTTTTCTCCCTCAGGACAAGGTGTCAAATATCTGAAGACTATGTGTGAAGGGTCTTCTCTTATCCAGGCCCTCATTCCTCGCTACTCTGTGCACTCATTCAACAAAGTCGGGGGCTGTGGTAGCAAGTCTGGGGTAGGGAACTCTGCGCAGGGCAGTCAGGGCAGACCTCCAGGAGGAGGTGACTTCTAAGCTGAGACCCAAACGAAGAGAATAAGTAGGCTAATGAAGAGCTGCGAGAAGTGAGTTTCAGCGAGAGTGGCATGTGCAAAGGCCCTGAGGCCGAAACGCACCTGGCCCCTCAAAAAGATCAGGCTGGCTTGGGTGGCAAAAGGGGATGGGTTGTCAGCAGGGCCAGAGGGCCAACTGGGCACTCTGACCTCCTGCAGGGCCTCGCAGCCAGGGGAGGAACCTGGCTGTGCTCAGTTAGATACTCCAGGTGAAGTTCACCAGGGTGGGGCACGCCTGGTCCAACCCTCCCCACCCGCAGCTGCCGGGGGAGACAGGGTTGCCGGGCTGAGCGGTCAGGGGCAGGCCCTGGACCGACAGTTACCTCGTTGCTGCTGGGACCTACCTGGCTTTCGGGTCACAGGCTGTGCCGCAACCACTGTCTCACACCTGCATGCCAGGTGGTCCTCCAGGGTCACTGTGACCAGCTTATTGATCGGGGTCTTCCGCACGATCTCGATCTTTTTCACCTGGAGGACAGAACCACCCAAGTGCCTCTGTAAGACTGTGTGGAGAGGGGCTGAGGGAGCCACCTGCCTGCTCTTGCCACCCCAGTGTCCCCTGCGGGAATCTTTCCTCGAAAGCCAGGAGAGCTGCGAGCCCAGGGCAGACACTGTGGCCCAAACAATAGCAGGACCCTGCCCTCTGCCCTTCTCGTAGCTTTTCCATCAAAACAAGCCCTCCCGACCTGGCCTGCAGCTTGGCCATGGCCCCCTCAGTCCTGCCAGAGAGGGAGAAAGGCATTTCCGGGTAGAGCGCGGGGCCTGCGGTGTCCTCATTCCTGGAGCGCCAGCCAAGGTCAGGGGCTGTGGCGGGGGGGGGGGGGGAGGTGGTTGTCTGGAAGGAAGTGGGGGGGTGGCTTGATCCAGGAGAGGGCGGGAAGGGGGAGGTCAGCTGTCAGGTGTCCATCTACAGAGATGGAAGCGTTGGGGACAGGAGATACCAGAACAGTGGGCAGCGTGGCAAAGAGTGCCACTTGTAATCTTGGGCACAGGGCTCAGGCCTGGGATGCAAGGTGGGCACGAGGGGAGGGGGGCACATGGTGAAGCCATGACAAGAGGGCTCACAGGCCACCGAGCCCTCGGCACGTCCACCACCCAGCAGCTCAGCCCAGCCTGCGCGGTGTGCGGGTGAGGCTGGCCCGAGGGGTGCAGAAACCTTTCCATTTGTATCAGAAGGCAGCGGAGGCCTCTCCGACCCTGCTCTGCCAGGCATGAGATCAGGAGCTCCCCCAGCACAGCCTCACCTCTCAAATTCCCCTTGAGTCAGAGCGTATGCCCAGGATTTCCAGAAGAGAGGCAGGACTCGCATTCTGACAGGTGCAGGCCCGCTGCACCTCCTGCAGCGTCTTTGGCCTGGGGGGGTCTCTGCCCCCTCCTTGTTAAAAACACAGCTCGTCAAAGGGAGATGAGCCGGCATCACAGACACAGGGGAGCCTCTCTCTCTCTGTGAAATGAAGGAAACTGACAGGCCAGGACAGGGGAGAGCTTTGGGGGACTCTGAGCAGCTGCCCAGAACATTCTGAGTGTTCGATATGTTTGCAGACATGTCTTTTCAAGAGACATTTGGGGATTTTTGTCCCTGAAAAAGATGAGGCAGCACCCTTTACTTAGCATCCTATACCCAGCCTGCCTTGGGGCCTATCTGCCTGTGGCTGTGGTCACAGCAGCCCGGGCAGCCTCAGCATAAATGTCCAGGCAGCTTCCTGAGAGTGTCCTCTCTGGTCAGAGCCCAGCAGCCTACCCAGAGTGCCCTTCCAGCCCTCAGAAGCCTGGGCAGCGAGTCACAAGCCCCAGCAGGGCAGCCCCTGCTGGCAGCGTTGGGCCAGTGGGGGTGGGGGGGGCGGGGCTGCTCACCTGGACGTGTCGCACCTGCACCTGGGTAGGGCGGCACTGCACTTTGTTACTGTTGCAGCAGCCGGAGCAGCGCTGCACCTCCACGCAGGGCGGCCACACCAGGTAGTTGGCATTGCTGCGGTCTATGAGGTTCCGGGAGATCTTGAACACCTCCGTGCGTGTCTTGCACTCAGCGATCCTGGCTGGCTCAGCAACCGTCAGGGAGTCTGAAGGGAGAGGGGACCTCTGTCAGGGGGCAGGGCCTTCCTAGAGCCACCACCTGGCAGGAAAGCACGGTGGGCCCCCTCCGGGCCTGCTCTCCTCGTAAATGAGCAGCCAAGTCCCTCTCCCTTCCATGTCCAGGGAGGTTTCGAGTCCAGGCTGTTATCAGCCATGGGACCTGGGCAGGCTGCTGCTCTGCTCTGTGCCTCAGTTTCCTCATGCGCACATGGGGGCGATCTCACCCCAGAACCACTGGCAGGATCAAGAGAGACCACTCAGAGGGCGCTGGCCTGTGGTTAAGGACAGGGTCCTTCCGCCAGCCCTCACTCACATTACTCTGTGACTTCACACCCTCATGGGTTTGCCCGACATGTGGCCCTTAGTCATCACGTATGACCTTGTAACCGCTTTCCTTTGCCTTCTTACACTGCAGTCTGTTTGGACACCGTTGCTTCTTTGGAAGCCACGGTTTGCTCGTCTATGAAATGGGATGATAACAGTGCCTGCGCAGTACCTGCAGACTAAGGGGCCCTGTGAGTGATGCCTGGCCCGCAGCCAGCGCGCAGCGATTGCTGTGGCTTGTCATCATTCCCATGCGAGGAACCGGGGCTCCCAGAGCTACAAGCTGCCCAAATTCATGGAGCGAGGAGTGGAACTCAGGCCACTGACTCTTATCTGGAACCCACAGCCCCCAGCCACTATCTACATTATTTTGGGTACTACAGGTCGGGGGCGGGGCTTGAGGCAAGCCCTTGCCTTCCCTGGGCAGGCTTCCCTGAGACCTGATGTTCTACGTTGTCCTTTGGTTTCTGCAGCAGAACAGGAAGCAGGTTCTGGGCTTTGCTCCACGCCTGCTGTCTCCAGCCACAGCCCTTAGTCACAGCAGAGACACGCAGCCCAGAGGGCACTGGGTTCAACTGAGACACTCTCTTGGGATCCCAGCCCTACCACTTGTTAACTGTGTGATCACGCCTACTTCCTCACCCTCTCTGATCTCCAGTTTCCAACTCCATAAAATGGGGTCAGTAATATCTATTTCTAGGGTTGAAGGAACAAAAAATAAGGTTAAAAGCATTACATTTAGGAAAGGGAGGTGTTGGGGGCAGGGCATGATGACCCAACTCAATATAAGGTACTTAAGGACGTTGCGTTCTCTTAGTTCACCTCGGTCCTCCGTGTGGGACCAACCGAGTCGGCCCTCACAGCCTGGGGCAGGCTGCACGCCCCAGTCCTCCTTTCCCGGCCCCCACCCTTTAGAGGGGGAGCTCGTTCTCACCCTCAGTCTTACCTAGGCTCCTTCTCCCTCGAGATAAGCTTTCCGGTTCGCCTCCAGAATGGGAGCGGGTCAAATTTAGGTCCAACTCAGCTCCATCTTCATCTGCAAGAAAACACACGTGCGCTCTGGTAACTGCTGGCTGGCCCGGCCCCTGCACGGGGGCTCTGACGGTCCCCTGCAGCAGGCGGGAGGGCTGCCCATCACCCCTCGCCAGGACTCCACTCCAGAGAACAGGCTCCCGCTCCAGGTCCTGGTAAATGTGAGATCCCAGCTCTGCGGAGGGGCTGTCCGGGCAAACCCCAGGTGGCCAGGGGGCTCAGCAGGGGTGGAGCTCCGGCCTTATGCTTGCAGGGGCTTCAGCCCCACTCTGGACTCTTCAGTCACATTTTTGGACAGAACCCATGTCAATGGAGTTAAAAATAACCCTTCGCTTTTGCTACTGTAAATGAACCCTCCTTGGCCTCCAGGGCAGGGCAAGGACCCAGTGCTCTGAAGGCCACTTTCCAGTGCCCCTCCGCCCAGCGTTCCCATAGGAAGTGCTGAATAGAGAAATTCCCAGAATCCCCAGGGGGGCCGGCATGCCCTGGACACAGCCCCTCTGGAGCCCCTGACAATGGCCCAGTTGGGGGGAGCGAAGGAGGGAGGGAGAGGGATGTGGGTGGGGGCTGAAGGCAGAGAGGGGTGGGGAGCCAGGGCTGCTGGATCCCAAGCCTCACCCAGTGCCCTTCTAAATCATGGTCTCTCCCCACCTCCCAGCCTCTCATCGAGTTTCTGTCTTTTCCCCTCTGACCTTTCGCCCCATGTCTGCCCTAAGCTGTCCATTTATTCCCAAGGTCACAGCTACAGCTCCCTTTTCTGGCCTGGGAAGCCCTCAACTCAGCGTCATCAGTGCTCTTTAGAGAGCTGCCCAGGAGCTGGCTGCCGGAGGTGAGGGCTGGGCAGGAGGACGTTGAGCTTGACGTTGACTGGTGGGGGCAGATTCTTCTAGCTCTCTGGTAGCCGAGAGCCAGCAAGTAAACTGAGGGATGCGGGCACCAGCTCCCGCCCCGCCCCACCGCCCCGCTTCCCACAGCACCTCTGGCTCCCAGCGTCCCCCCCATCCTGCTGGCCCTGCTTGTCCCTGCGGGCTCCCAAGGGGTCCTGCTTGGAGGACACTGTCCTGGAACTGGTGCGTTTCCATCTGGGCTACTGTCCCACACCAGTGCGTCTGCCTGCGTCTCTCCGTCCCTTCCTTTCTCTCTGCCATCTCTGGAATGTCCCTACTGGGGAGGAGATGGGGAAAAGATGTGCTTTGTGGAAAGGTTAAGTTGATTAGGAAAAAATAGCCACATGGTTGCCGCGAAACAGGGCCGCTATTGAAAACCTCGTCTCCCTGATCCTGACCCCCACCCGGGGTGTGGAGGGGCTGTCCGAGGGTGGGGGCGAAGGCCCTTGGAAAGAAACAGCAGAAAGGCTAAATTTGGAAGTTGCCCCATTGTGTTGGCCAGGGCTGGCCAGTCGGGCATGGGGTGGGGGTGTGGGAGACGTCGGGTGGCGGGCCTGGTGAACAATAGGTGGGCCCAGCTGGGGCCCCCTCCCGCCTACCTCACCAGCCCCCAGCACAGGCGGGTTTGAAAGGGCCCGGGAATGCTTTTGAGAGGGAGCCAGGGGCCCAACGGGGAGAGGAAACAAAGGCAGGAAATGCTGTCCCCCGTAGATAGCAGTCTGGGCAAGGATTACAAAGTGACAAAGAGACAAAACCCCAGAGGGAAGGGGAGCTGGGGGTGCAGGGGGGGTGCTGACCAGGGCTCCAGGGATCAGGCCAGAGGTTAGAATAGAATGGAATTTGCTCTGAAGACAGCGTTTATAAATACATTCCCCACCCAGACCGCCAGCCCCGCCACGTGTGTGCCACCGAGCACGTGCCCATTCGATGAGTGCGTTCTTGGGCACGGGCAGGGCAGCCCGCTGGCCTGGGCCAGGTGTCCCCAGGAGACCTTGCAGAGTGGGCCCTGGGCCAGAGGGGCAGGGATGTGGCTCTTCCAGCAGCACCCCCCCTGCTGAGTCCACACCTGGGTACTGGGCACCTTCTCCCTGCCTGCCCCCTGCGGGCGCCCCACCCTCTGCACCAAGCCAGACACACATGTGGGCGCTTCTCCTGCCACGCCCCTCATCCCAGGTACCAACCCGTTCGCCTACGCAGCCCTGCCCCAGACAGGTGTGGCCGAGCCCTCCCTGGCCTGCCACAGGCCCCAGTTCTCTGGCTGTCAAGGAAGAGGGGGCATCCTTGCCTTGCCCCTCGTAGCACGCCCCCCCCCCCGGTCCCCAGCGGAGGGCCAGCACGGCGGACGCGGACGCAGTTTACCTCCGGAGTCGCCGTGCAGCAGGCGCTGGAGGTCATCGAAGGAGCGGATCGAGTGGTCGCTCAGCATCTCGTAGAGCTCCTCGGGAATGGGGTCCCCCTGCCAGGCAGACAGCGTGGGATCAAGTGAGCTGGGACTCGGGGCTTGCCAGCGCGGCCCTCTTGCCCCCAACACAGACACTCCCTCCACTGGGCGGTCCCCACAGGGCCCCTCGGCCGCAGATAAATGGACAGCCAGGCTGCGGGGTGGGCAGGAGGCAGACTCCAGGCCTGACCGCCAGGAGCACAAAGTCCTGGCGGCCAGAACCTGCCACAGCCTCCCAGACCAGCTCAGATGACCATCCCCCGCCCCTGCCTAGGAACCCCAGCTCGCTCTGAGTTTGATTGTGTATGTCCTTCTCCCCCATCAGGCTACATGTTCTGGGGGGCTCCCCCATCCTCCTGCTTCTCCCCCACACCTGACAGCTAACGAGGGCCAGCACTTGTCATGCGAGGTCTGATTATCTTCCGGTCACCAGTGAGAAAAGAGAGACCCAAGGGGCGACACCCTTTGTCTGGGCCTACAGCTGAGAAGTGGCAGACCTGGCACCCGAACCCAGTCTCTCTGCTGGCAGAGCCCGCGTGCACTCCCAGCCTCCTGGGTGCGCATGGTGTTTAAAGAGCGCTTGCCGAGTCGGATGGTCTCAGGAGGCCACAAGGACTAATGGTATTTATTTAGTCTCTCGCTCACAGAGCAGAGAAGGGAATCCTCAGATGCGGCCGGGAACCTGAAAGCTTACCCCAGCCCCATGCCCAGCCAAACCCTATTTTTAGAGCCCCCCTGGCCTGGTACCAGAAACACTTGAAACTTAATAAGCACTTTAACAGGCCCCATTCGGAGCCGGGCTTCCTCCAGGGAAACCGCAGGTCCCACAATGACATGAGAGGAACCCAGTAGGAAGGATGCGGCCACGTCCCCTCTGGTCCAGGGAGACCCGAGGGGCTGATGCCAGGGGTCTTGAGAAAGAGGTGAGGGAGATGAGAGGCTGAGAAGCACAATCCGGACGCCCACCTCCTCGGGGCAAAGAAAATGTGTGAAATGCTGCTGCACAGCTGAGCTCACACCCACGTGAAGGCACACACGTGTACCCACGAACACAGGAAGGCACGTCTCGTGGGAGGAGCCCTGGGAAGGGCATGTCCATCCGAACTCACACCCATGTGAAGACACACACGTGCACGCACAAACACAGGATGGTATGTCTCGTGGACGGTGCCCTGGGGGGGGCGTCCACTGACTTGACTTACCACCCCATTAACCCTGGGTTTAACCACCCTGCACCTCGGTCTCCCTGGGTGAGGAAGGGAGGCGCACTCCTGTCCGGTCGGTTCACTGAACACTCCAAGGACCCGCGCTCGGAGGCTTAGCACCGTTGCCTCCTCTCAGCCCCCAGCAGGAATGGGCAGGTCATCTCCCCCCCATGGCCGGCCCACGAGGCTCCCCGCAAAGCTCTGGTAGAAGCATGTGATTGATCAGGTTTCAGCCTCCCCCCAAAGTTCATTTCCTGGACACTTATCACAACATCTGCCCCCAGGAGTTCCAGCACGTCTGGCTGGGGCCCCCCAAGTCACCCTTGTGGGCATAACCGCTTTTGAAACAAATTCCTTACAACTCCTGAGCTCAGGGTCTTCCCTTGAACGTGGAGCTTGTCAGTCTGCCTGGTGTCTAGGGCTGCCAGGAGGTCGAGGGAGGGAAAGTTGGGGGCGCAGTAGTAAGTTTGGCTGGAAGTTGGGGTCTTTCCTTCAGGGCCCACGACTGGGCAGCGCGGTAGCCAGGGGCTACACGGATGAGACGAGGCGCAGCGTAGGCTTAGCTGCCCCTCGCTTTCCTCCCCCGTCTCCACCCCGCGTGGCCTCCTCCAGCCCCAGGAAGGGGACCACAGCTTTGGTGGTCTCCAACTGTGGACGCAGGACCCAACCCAAGAATGGAGCGCAGGTGCCTGGTCTCCAGGCAAGACCAAGGCAGGCCGCTTCCTCAAGTGCTCTGCCACCCTCGGGGACTGGTGCTCCGGGGAGCTGGCTTCCACCTTCTACTGTCACTAACCACCAGTGACCTCCAGCTGGCCACGGCCCCTTTCTGTATCTGGCTGTGACCTGTGAATCGAGGGAGCTGAAGACATTTGATTTGATTCTATTTCTGCCCAGCGATGGCAGCAGAGGCAGCAGAGGGAAGCCAAGGGGGAGGTACCCAGCCAGATCGCGCAGGCTGTTTGTGGAGTAATGATTCAATTAACTCCCCAGGAGAGGGGCCCGAAGGCCCAGCACCAAATGGCAGGTAGCCCTCGTGCCAAGGCCTCCGTGCCCACTGGAGAGCTGGCCGCAGCTGCCAGCCATGGCAGAGAAGGTGGACCCCCAATCAGGCCCAGCGGATGCAATGCAAAGGAGGTGACATCTTATGGAAACAACCCCAGAACCTCCCCTGCTCCCAGGCTGCATGTGCAAGAGCCCAGGAGAGAGACTGGGGAAAAGCACGTGGTAGGTGCTCAATAAAAGCCAGTAATACAGGAAGGACTCTCTCCTTCTCCCTGGGATTCTCCCACCTCCTCCACCAGGAGGACCACCTGGGATAGTCCCCCTGCACCCTCCTGCAAACTGCCTCCTACGGAGCCCCCTTTATTCTAAGCAGAGGTCATTCCTGCACGTGCTTTTATTAATTTGACCACTGGGTGCCCAGAACTCAGTCAGAGCTCCTGGATTTGATAAATTCCACAGCTAACTTTTACTAGGTGCTGACTATAAGCCAGGCACTGAGCTAAACTCATTACTAACTACCCATCCCAAGAGGCTGGTGCTATTTTTATCCCCACCTGCCAGATGAGGAAGCTGAGGCTTAGAAAAATGAAGCGAACGGCTGTAGGTCACCAAGCCCAGCAGGAGCAGAGCGGGGCCCCTCCTTCTTTCAGCCACCTGAGATCTTCCCAGTACTATTTCCAGTTCAGGTCCCCCTTCTCCCTATCGGGGTCAGAGAACAGAGGCTCTCCCCCGGGGCAAGTGGCCCCCGGGGGACTTTGGCTGTGTCTGGGGGCATTTTTGATTGTCATAACTACAGGGGTGCTACTGGCATCTAGTGTGTAGAGGCCCGGGATACTGCTAACCACCCTCCTATGCACAGGACAGCCCTCCACAATAAAGAACTGCTTGACCCAAGATGTCAACAGCGCAGAGGCTGAGAAACTATAAAGAGCAAAGGCTTCAGCTGCCAAGGAAGCCTTGATTCTTGGAATGAGTCTTTTAACAACCTAAAATCTCAGCTTCTTTATCTTTTAAGTGGGGCTAATAATACCTCACCAGGGTTATTGGGAGGCCTAATTGCACCTAGCAGAGCAGCCAGCAAGTAATGGGCGCTTAATGAGCTGTCGCTGTGGCCGTTCCTTCAGTGTGGCTCCTTGAGGGCCGCAGCGAGCCGCATGCACTCCCAGGGCCAGCAGTACAGGACATTTTTGAGGATGCCAGTGGGTGGGCGGAGAGCTGCCTACCTACGGGAGAGTGTGCGGCTTTGCCCTGTCCCCCGTGCTAGGCCACAGGAAGTGGCACCTCGCCTCGCCGCGGCAGCGCCTGGGGCAGCGTGGGCTGCTGGGCCCCTTCCAGGGCTGGGGAGTAGGTGAAGGGTGATGAAATTCAGCCTGTGGTCAGCTCCAGGATGCACTGCCCTGAGGGGGGACTTGCCGGGGCACCTGCTTGGGCTCAGAAGCTTGGGGTCAGAGGCTCTTCCTGCTGTGGAAGGGTGAGCACAGGGAGAGGGTTTTCCTGGACACAGGTTCTAGAACCCTCCTTAGGTGGGCAGCTTCTCCACAGAGCTGGGAAAGGAGGCTGGGCACCTTGGGGAAGCTGCCCCAGATCCCAGGCCTGGGGTTCTGGAAGGGTGAGGGCGTGGCGAGAAGGCAGCTGGGGCACAGCCAGCCACGGGAGCCAAGGCAAACAGCCTCCTCCCCGCCCCACCCCCAACGCCAGCTGCAGAAGGTAGGAAGGGCACCAGCTAGAGTGAGGCTAGATGAATTACCTGCTCCCAACCAGGCTGGCAGATCAAAGGGGCTTAGACCCGCCCTCCACCTGGGCCCCAGCACACACACAGATGCACTCTCCCCAGCCCTGCTGCCCTTCAGCGGAGAGAGACTACACGGGGCTCGGCCCAAGCAGCCAGGGGCGTTGGCTGCGGCTGGCAGAGGGAGAAGCCTACCAGGCAGGCCTCCGAGCGCCTGCCTGCCTGCCTGCCTGCCTGCCTGCCTGCGAGTCTCAGGCCTAATTTAGATTCAATGCCAAAGCCAAGCCCTTTGAAGAAGCCTCCTCTGGGCAGACCACAGAAGCCACTTAGAACCAGCCTTCCCACCTACCATTTCCCTCCCCTGTGCTCCTGGGACCCTCCCAGGACCCCACCCCTCCTTAATGCGAGTCCAGCCTCCCGCTGGGCTCCCCACCTCTCCCTTGAGCAGAAAAACCGTTGGAGCGGGAAGAGAGGGTCCAGCGCGGCAATCTAATCCTGGCAGCCGCGGCGATCACCACCCTGCACCCCGCCTCTGTCCCAACTCCCAGCACAGGGCGGGGCCCTGGACTCTGCATTTTCAAGAGGCCTGGTAACTCTGCTGCTCCGGGGGAACTCCGAGCTAATCCAATCTTCTCCTGTTTTGGGGTGGCGGAAAATGAGGCCCGGTTCAAGGGACACAGAACCCGTGCAATCTGATTTTCCGTCTGTTCCTTCCCCTCTGTCCTGTCCAATCTCGGCCATCCAAGTCCCAAGGTGTGGAAAAGAAAGATGAGCTTGTCTCCCAAAATGGGACGGGGGGAGCTCGAGTGAGGGGGTCTGGGGGCAGGCAGTGGCCTCGCTGGGCTGCCCTGGGGTAAGGACTAAATGAGGCAATGTCGTGACATGCTTGGCAAGCGCTGGACACCTACGTGGCCCCTCCCCCTCTCCAGGGTTCACTGTCCTTCTCACAAATATTTACGGATCATCCACCATAGGCCAGGCACCATTCTAAGTATGGGAGAAGGTGGTTAGTTACTAAGACGAAAGCTCTCTAGTGGAGTCTACACTCCAGTGAGGAGAAACAGATAATAAACAACTAAATAAACCAGAAAATGAAAAGAGCTGTCTACTTCAATGTGGGTGGGGGAAGACCTGGAGAGGGGCTTCTGAGGCGCAAGGCAAACACCTCTTTACCAGTCCTGCTGAATCTCTCTCTCTCTCTCTCTCTCTCTCTCTCTCTCTCTCTCTCTCTCTCTCTCTCTCTCTCTCTCTCTCTCACACACACACACACACACTCATGCACAATCTTTCTACGTCTTGCACCAGAGCCTCCAAAGTCGGTTTGATCCTAAACTTGTGGGCACTTCTGGGACTGGGAGATTCCAGCAAGTTGCTTGCTCTCCCACCACCTAAGGCATTAACCAACCAGATGGAGGCTGGGTAGTGAAGGGCTGTGGGGCCCCTTCGCTCTTTCCCAGCAGAAGGGTGCTGAGGCCAGCGGCATCACATGACAGTGGGAGTCACCCTCCCCAGAAGCCAGCTCAGCTGATGGACATAGGACCTCAGGGGCCTCCGCCGACCCCCCGCCAGGCCCTGCCTCAGACTTCCCAGCCCTCCTTCCCAGCTGCCGAGGCCTCCACCTGAGGCTCCGTCCATGCGTGCTTGGGACCCGGCCAGCCCCGAGGCCACCTTTATTGGCAAGCGCTCCCGGAGTCCCCCTTCCTGGACTGGCCTCCATGCCACAGGTTTGCCCTTAAGGTCTCTTCTCCCAGAGCCACCTGGAGGCTTGCTCAAGGCTTAGCAGGAAAGTGCTTCCTAAACTGCAAAGCACCACCCAGCTGTGGGTGCCTGAGCCATGTGTTCAAGGACGTTGTGATTAAAGAGGAGAGAGGCACCAGCTTCTGTGCCATAGCCGCCCCCCCACCCCCGTCCCCAACACACATACCCACGGAGCTGTGGGAAAGGAGGAGGAGGCGCTGGATGGAGCTGGGAACGGTAAGGGCAGGCTTGGGAAAGCCTTAGCCAGCTGTCACCCAGCTGGGTAAGCAAAGAGGACAGAACAGGGGCACGGGGGTAGGGGGTGAGGGGGAACCCCTCAGCGACTCAGGGTCCTCTAGTCTTGAAGCCTTACTTGAAGGGAGAAATAGCCTGGACATGACAGTGGGCCCCAAGCGCACCAATACCATTTTCAGCCACACGCGAGTAGTTGAAAAAGAGCAATCACAGAAGAGTAATGCTTGAAGGGCGTGGAGCTGACCCTAGCAGGCAAAACAAAAATAAAAACGTGGGTGCTGTGGAACCAGAACTGATGCGAGGGTCCCTGTTTCCCCTCCCTCACAGCACCCAGTAAGGAAATGGAGTCGCTGCAGAGGTGAGGAGGTTCCAGGGCTCACCGTGGGCCCACCTGTGGCGCGGGGGTGGGGAGCTGGCGTTGGGCCGTGCGTGAGTGGGTGGGCGCGTACGTGTGCTGAGGCCGCGTGTGCTGGGTCCTTGCGTGCGTGTGTGTGCGGTGCGCGCGCGTGTGCCCCGCGTGTGCACGGGCGTGGCAGCGGCGGGCGCGCGACCCGGCCGCAGTAGTGCGTGCCCGTCGCTCTGCGCGCCCGCCCGCCCGCCCGCCGGAGCGCAGCATCGCCTCCGGCCAAGAGTGTGCATGCGTGGGGTGAGTGAGCGAGTCGGGGGGCCGGACGGGGTGGGCTGCGGAGAACAGCGGCGGGGACGCCGCGGTTCCCAGGACGCCCTGGCACCGGGCCCAGCCCCCAGGCCCCGCGGCGAGGCGGCAGCTGGGGCCGGCCGGTGCCCCCTCCTCAACAGCTGGCCGCGGCCCAGGGGGCTGCGGGAGGAGAGGAGGGGGCGTCGGGAGGGGCCTGCAGGCGGCCTGGCCGAGCCCCGCGTCCTCCCTCCCGGGCGCGGGCCGCGGGGGACGGCCGCGGAAGGGCGGGGCCCCAGGGCGGGCGGCCGGCGGCCCTCAAGGATCCCCGAGAACAAAAGGAGACGGCGACTGCTCCTCCGTGGTCAAAACAACCTGCGCTGGCGGCGGCCCAAGGCCCAGCCGCGGCCTCGGAGCCCTTCGTCTTAACCCTTTCGCTGCCGCCGCGGCCTCCTTCCTGCCTCGTTGGAGGTCGGGAGGGGAGGCGCGGGCTCCCGGCCGCGGCCGAGCAGAAGCAGGGCCGGACCTAGGCGCGCCGCGCGCCCCGCGCCCCGCAGCCCTGTTTTCCCCTCCACCTCGCGCCTCCTCCCTGCCCCGCCCCCTTTCCCACCTGGATTCCGGGTACACTTGCCAACTCACTGCTACTTGAGGCTGGGAGGGGTGGGGGACTGCTCAGACCCGATAGCTCTGGCAGACGTTTTTATACCCCACCTCCCTTGCAGCTAGGCTTTTTCCAGGCACCCGCAAGCCGGGGAGAGGTGCTTCCTCTTGCAGGGCTCGGGCGTAGGTATGGCGGGGCTTCAGGCACACACCGGCCTGGGGCCGGATTCCTTACGAGCCCCCCGTCTTCCCTAACCCCGAGTGCGCAAAACCTTTCGCCCCCACCTCCCTTCCGCCTCGCCCAAGACACAAGCTGCTCCTGGACCGCGCTCTGGGGCCGAGTATGCCCTGCACGGACGGAGCGTGGCCAGCGTGACCGGGAGTGGGAGCCAGGGTGGGACGCGAAACCTTGCCGAAGGTTGGCGTGGCTGCTACCAGTGCGCAAGCTCGCACCTCCCGTGCAAGCCAGGTCCCAGACAGAATCTAAGCTGGAACCGAAGTGGGCTCGGGAGGACGCGCTGCCTTCCGCACCCTCGGCACCACCCCACCCCCTCTCCACTCGGCGGGGAAGGGGCTTGTTCGGTCCCTGAGGGGTGGGGGACAGGACCACACACATCTTCCCGGACGCTTAAAGGCGGAGAAATCTGGGATAGCTCCTGGGAAGGAAAGCCACCTCTGCACCCTCCCCTTAGAGCCTGGCACCTCCCGCACCTCGCGTGTCAGTCCTCGGAGGTCACGCAGCGCCCAGCACCAGGCCCGCGGGCTGCAAGGGTCCAAAGTTCACTGTGGGGAGGGAAGGGGTGGTAATGGGGGGTAATGAATGAAGCGAAACAGCCCCACCACCTTTGCAACTCACCTCAGCGCTGACCAGACGCAGGTAGCAGCAGAGAGACAGGAAGAGCGCCCAGCAGCGATTCATGCCGACTACGGGCCCGGCCCCACGGGGCCCCAGACGCGTGGACCGAGCACGCCGCCCCCTCGGCCAGGGTGGAGGGCGGGGGCTGGGGAGGAAGGTGGGCTCGGCTGGGGTCTGCGGCGATCAGGCGCTCTGGCCGCTGCAGCCGCTGTAGCTGCTCACCCGCATGGCCCCCGGGCGCCCCCGCCCTCAGCCCCGGCTCCGTCGTCGTTGGGGGACTGGGAATAGCCTGGGCGCGGGACAAGGGTCCGAGGCCGCTACCTGGGCGGATCCCGAGCCCGAGCGAGCATCCACAGCCGGGGGGCTGCGTCGCGAACCAGCCGAGGTGTCTAGCCGTGTGGGGGCGCCCAGGGGACTCCAACCTCCAAGAGGAAAAGGAACACGGCAGTCGATGGTTCGTCTTCTCTCGCCGGCTAAAGGCGTTCTCCTTTGCCTGCCGGCTTAGCTTTTTTGCAACATTTTCTGGGAAGACCCTTGAAGTCAGAAAGCGCAGAGCTGGGCACCTCAAAACCAAAGTCACCCCCCGAAAACTTTTTCCAAAGTTGGCGTTGCCGCGGCGGCCCGAGTACCCAGGCAGCGAGAGGTGCAAACTCCCGCCCGGGCCGGGTTGGGGGGGGCCGGAGCGTGTGCGCCCTGGCTCAGAGCCCCGGTGGCGGGCACGGCTGCTCCGCGCGCGGCGAGCGGCGTGCGGGTCCGGGCGGCGGGCACGGCTGCTCCGCGTCGGCGTGCCCGCTGCTCTCTGGACCGGACGCAGCAGACAGGTGGACGCGGCGCAGGTCCGTCGGTCCGTCCGCCCGCCTACTCCCCACTCTGGGAGTCTTCTACGGGCTGCGAGCTGCGGCTCCTCTGGCTTTCTCTTTGCAACGAGGCTGGAGGGTGGGCTCTTTTCCCCCCCGTTTTGCGCGTGTGTGTATGTGTGCGTGTGTGCAAGATATCTCTATCTCGGGAATGAAAGATGGGCGCTGGCGGCCGAAGGAGAGCCCTCAGGGAGGCCGCGGGGGTTGGCTGCAGGCTCGAGGGGAGGCAGGCGGGCTGCTCCCCGTGGCAGGAGGAGAAGTTGCCACCCTTTCAGCTGTTCTGGCCTTTATAAAGAAGGGAGAGTGAGAGAGGTGGGTGGAGACAGCCTTTCCTCTTCTGGCTGAGAGTCAGCACCAGGAGGGAAGGAGGGGGGGGGGTGGCAGGAGCTCCGGAGGGCCTGAGGCGAGGATAAGGCGCTTGGTGGTCTCCAAGAGCCCCACAGCCCCTCTCTCCAGGAATTTGGCCCCTGGAAAGGGAGAGCTAGGGGCGACCAACCCGTGAGCCTCTTAATGCAGGGACGGTAGCCTGGTTTCACGTCGTTGGGGAGCAGTCTCCAGGACCGGGGCCAGGAGTCCAAGCCGGCTCCTGCAGGACCAGGCATTTGCACCCCGGCAAGTGCGCGGAGAAGACAGACTCAGGCTCTGCAGCTTGGTTCAGATCCTACCCTGCCACTGAGTAGCTGGGTCACCTTGGGCAAGTCATTTCCTTTCTGCGCTCCTCCGTCTAGCCTCAAAGTGAGGTAGGTTTGCTGTGGGGACTTAATGCCAGAAATGGCAGAAAGAACGCAGTTCCATGCCAGCCGCAAGGGGATCACACAAACCCCCAGCCAGTACCAATCAGTTGAAAGCTGGGTTCATGTCTCTTTTCTCCTAGCTGGTTGCCTGGCACATAATAGGCACTGCCGGCGTTTGCTAAATCTGAATTTGTTGAACTGCAAAGTCACGTAGCACCCCCTCCCCCGACAATCCTGCAGCATCCTAGTCACCCTGATGTTTACTACCTCCCTCAGCACCCCATTCGGAGGCCCAGGGACCCCCACCTCCACCAGTGTTCGCACAGTTAACACCTTCCACCCCCAGCTCTGGGAGTCGCTACGTCCCTGCCTTCAGCAGTCACACGGTCACAGTCACAGAGTCACACGCACAGCCGCTGAGCCCAGCACCCAGCTCACTGCGTCACTCTGCTCCTGGCTTTAGGATACATTACCTGGTCCCCTTGCGGCGTCTCTCATCTGCCCTTTGTACCCAAACATCCCTCCCCTCACATACCCACGCGCACCACCACTGAGACAAGCACACCGACGTCTCATAAATCATCTTCTGGGACCTACGCAGGGTCAGCTGCTCACAGGAGGGCCTCTCAGGAGGGCCTCTTCACGAGCAGCCACACAAACAGTGGTCAAGAGGCTCAGGCAAGACCATCCCCGTGGAGGCCCAGAGCAGGGTGTCCGGTGCCTGGACTGCGTCGTTCCTTCGACACAGCATTCAAGTGTCTCCTGGTGACCAGGGACTGTGCCAGGCACCGAGGAGGCAGCGCGGTGCTCGTGCAGGCTCCAGCCCTGCGGGAGCCCCCACCCGGGGGGCAGACAGGTGCGTGAATAGGTACCGAGAAATTAGGAGACAGAGTGACAGGGGAGAGGATGTGTAGGAGTGGGTGGGAAGATAACCTCAAAACACGAGATTTGAAGCTCAGAGACTTAGAGATGAAAACTGTGCCACTGGACAGCTAGGTGATCTTGACCTTGCCCTTCTACATTCTAATCTGTAAGTGGGATATTAATCACTCCCATTATCATTGAGGCGATCGTGTGGTAGGTAATGTTCTTACTCTGTCTGCAGCCTCTCAATGCTCCTATGCGATGTTACTGCTATCTTAGAAATGGAGAAATTGGAGCACAGAGAGGTTAAGCCACTTGTTCAGGGTCACACAGCCAGTAAGTAGCAGAGCCAGGACTTGAACCCATGCAGTCCAGCTGCCGAGCCCAAACACTTAAACCACCATGATGTACTTTCTCCTGGCAGGCGATGATGGTGACAGTGATGATACTTTTTATACAAGGCTTGTGTAAACATTACCCAGGTTAATATATGCAAAAGTGTTTTACCACCTGAAAAGTGCCGTACCAACAGGCACTCTCGCGTACAAGGTGCTGTAAGAGCACAAAGGAGGCAGCACACAGCTCAGCCTCGGGGGGGATGCAATGAGGGGAGGGCCCCCGGGAGCAGCACCAGTGGGCACCTACTGTGTGCGGGCCCTGTGTGAAGCGCCAGGAAATGGAATAAGGAAGGAGACCCAGTCCTGGCACCTGGGGCCTCCCCAGCTCCTGAGTGAGACAGACACAAAGTGCTACAATCCAGAAGTCTTTGTGCGTTGGTTAGAAGTGGCCACGCAGGGACCACGTGGCACGGGGCCTGAATGCCACGCTCAGGCGAGCCCCCTCCTGTGCCCTCTCCTGGCAGACGCCCTGTCAACGTGTGGCTCTTCCTCACAAGCACTTCTCTAAGGGACGGCTCCTCTCGCCCTCCTGTCACACTCGGCTCAGGCTGCACCCCAAGGGAGCCCCCCACCCCGGTGATTGCGTGCCCTGGGTTCCCGTGGCCTGCGCCTCATAGTATTGTCGTTGCCCATTGACAGGCTTAGCACCAGACTGAGCTCCAGGTGAGCAAAAGCCTGGTTCCAGTTCCCGCCATATGGGAGCAGCCCTGTAAATGTCTGCTGAAGGAATGAATAAATGAGTAAAATCTTACCTGTTTCTCTCTCTGAGTCCTAGCCTGTGGGTACAGGGATGCCAGACCCTGCTTGAGGAGTGGCCAGAGGTGAGGAGGGGCTTGAGCCTCTGAAGTCGGAAGCAAAGGGCACTGCCCTCTCAGGCCTGGGGAGGCCTCAGCCCATCTCTGGCATTGGGGCCACTGAGGAATCAGGCTTTCCAGCAGGGCTGGGAGTGAGTTTATGTAGGGTGAGGGCCCACCCCCAGAGCTACCAGCCCCCTGACAGGTCTGAGCCAAGTGGAAAGCCAAGTGGCCACAGCTATCAGCCAAGCGCTGGGGCGGGGACCTGCCCACAGCCGGGCGTTTCAGGCTGGGTCTTCAGCGCAATCCACGCACACTCTTGTCCATTGAAATCACCTTTCCCGCTGGGAGTGAGGACCCAGGCTGAGGAAGGAACTGGATTCAATGCCAGGGGCAGACTCAAGTGCAGAGAGTGGGAGTGCCGTGTACCGGGTACCCCCGTTCCACTGAGGGGCCCCAGCAGCACCTGTGCCGGGCAGGTGTGTCTTTCCAGGCTTGGGGGAGGAGGACATGGGGACCCAAACTGCGGACAGTCCAAGGCCCTGCCACAAAGGGCCTGGGACCCAGCCCCGGCCTCTGCCATGGCAAAGCGCACACGCTGCGCCGCACCATGGAGCGGCAGCGCGCTCCCCGGGCCCCCGGCTTCCTCGTCCCCGCCTCCCCGCCTCCCTGCCTCCCTGCCTGCACAGCTTTGCCCTACTCCACCCTCAGAGTCACCAGCAAGGGAGGCGTTACGTTGTACGTGCTCATTTTACAGATGGGCAAACTGAGGCTCAGAGAGGGGAAGGGACCAAGTTTCCCATCAGACACTGCCTGGGTTCAAAGCCCCGCTCAACTGTTTACTCACTTGTGGCCTTGAGCCAGTCACTCCACCCCTCTGAGCCTCAGTTTGTTCATTGTTAAGTGTGGGTAGCCATGGTAATTACCACATAGAGTCAAATGTGTCACTGCATCCTCAGTGCTGAAAGCAAGGATGGGCAATCCACGAATGCTTGTTATCAGGATTATTGTTACTCCAAGCTACACGCATACTGTGCGAGTACATGTATGTGCGTGTGTGCATACACGGTGAACTCCAGAGGCAGCTCTAGGAAAGGAGCCCAAGGCTGGGGAAGCCAGGACACGTCGCCTGGCGTAGGGCGTGACCTCACGCAGAGCCCCGACCCTGGCGAGTCTCTGGCCACTGTGGCCATGAGTAGCAGGGAGGCAAGCAGACAGACAGACAGACCCGGGCCGGCCTGGGGGAGCCCGCCTCGCTGCCTCTGAGGCCTTGGCCTGGTGTCCCGTATACAAAGGCAAGGGAAGCGCAGTGTTTGTTTTCCTGGGCCAGGCAGTGCATTTTTAGCTCCTCTAGTCTCCAGACAAGGAAGAGGATGTTTGGACGGGGCAGCTCAGATCTACCTGTCCTGGAAGCTGGCTGGAGATGGAGTGAAGCCCCCCAGGGTGAGGGGAGCCGGGCCGCTCTGGGCTGGGTAATGACCCCACCGGGATCTCGTGATGGGCCGGTCAAAGCACGTCCTCACTGCCCCCTCTGCTGCTCATCTGCTGGGCCTCAGGCACTCTGATAACGGAGACACCGCTCTTACCGAGCACTCGCCCCGTGCCAGCTGCCCTGCCTGAACTGACCGCAGCAAGGGAGGTACGGCAGTTATGCCCATTTTATCAGCAACAGACCGAAGCTGGCTGAGTCCTTACCCGCTTCCCGGAGGGCTGGTGCTTTTATGGTGTTCACACCTGGGGACGAGGCACTGAGGCTCAGAGAAGGGCACTAGTTTGTCCCGTACCCCCCAGCAAGGAAGTGGCAACGCCAGGATTTGAATGCTGGGCTGTGATGTCAAAGCCCACCCTTTCGCCATCTCCCTGTTACTTGATTCCTCCCCACGTGGCCGGGATCGGAGCTGTGCAGCTTTTCGTGCCACTTTGCACATAGAAAATTAAACAAACGCGCTAGATGGAGGAGGCTGTGCCAGGCGGGGCCAGCAGGCCCGCAGGACCCGCCTACCACCCAGGGCAAGGAGCCACTTGCAACGCCCAGATGGGAAGCTGTGTAGGGGGTCTGAGTTAGCCAGCCCAGGGTGTCCTTGCTGAGGATTCGACTGGGGATTCTGGAAGGGATGGGGCAGGAGGGGGAGGGGCAGGCAGGCAGTAGCAGCCCTCTTGGTGGCGGCACGGCTAGAACCGCACAGACCCTCACCAGCTTTCCAGAAGAAGTGTTCGTAACTGCAGGAAACGAGGTAGGCCTGTCCAAGGAACGGGAAGCCAGCCACAGTGTGAAAGCGACCAACTCTTCATCCACGTTCATAAGAGCAAACGTGTATGTGGTACCCAATGTCGGCCGCTCGCTCCAAGCCTCTCAGGTATACTAACTCCGTTATGCCTCACCGTGTGCCTATGGAGAAGAGCTATGATTGCCCCCTTTTATACAGACGGGGCACCGAGGTCCGGAGCAGCTTCACAAGGTCAAGGTTGAGTGAGGGCAGAGCTGGGATTTGAACCCGGGCAGACTGGTGCCAGCCTCATTCTTTGGACACCTGCCAGGCCAGGCAAAGATGAAAACACACAGGTTCGCCTGGGCCCTGGCCTCACTTGCCCACATATTTTAGCTGAACCCCGCCCTGTCCAGGAAGGGCCCTGGGGTGGGCGGTAGGCTGAACGCCTGGCTGAAGGAGCCTCCCCTTGCCATAATGAACAGAGATCCACGCTGCTGGGCTGACGCTGGGCAGACGACCGTAGAGGCTGCTAGGAGGGAAACGTAGGTGGAAGGTGCAGTGGCCTGCAGCTCCTGCGGGTGATCCTGTCCTTGGGCCCCTCTGCCCCGCCTCATCCTACCTCCCTGGGCCCTCATCTCCTCCCACCACCGTTAGGGGGCTCCCCTTTGGCAGCAGATACGGCACAGCGTCAATGTTCCAAACTGTCCCCCCAGTACAAGCCAGGGGTGTTCCGAAGGGACATCTGAGGTTCCGAGGTGTCGTGTGACTTGCCCAAGGTCACACCGTGAGTCCGGGACAGGGATGGGGTGGCACTCAGTTCTGCCAAGTCCAGGGTCCGCAGCCCTTCCTGCTGGAAGGGTTTTCAGTGGCGAGGGAGGGAAGGACGTGGGTAGGAGAGGAGCCCGGTGATGCTGGGGTTCACAAGGAGTAGACGATGGCTTATTTTTACCCCAAACCACACCTTTACTCACGCTGTTCCCGGAGTGCCCTTCACGCTCCTCTCCAGCCAAGTCTCACCCACTTCCTCCCCACTCCCGCCTGCCCGCCGGGGAGCTTTCCCTAAGGCCCGTTCCCAAAAGTAGCAAATTGTCCCTTCCCACTGCTGCCTGGAGGCCACTCAAGGATGTTTCCATGTCCTGGGTCTATCTTAGGTCCCTGCCAGGACCGGAGCTTCTCAAGGGCAGGGACCGGGGGCAGCTTGTGCAAAGGTTTGGATTAATGGACAAGGACCCTGTAAACCCTCCAGGCCTGGCTTTGAGACCCTGCTGTGCCAGCGCCCTGGGCAGGGCACTGTCCTCTCTGGGACTGGGCCTCGTTGCGGCAAGCTGGGGGGGCCGCATTCGCCTTGCAGGGGTGCCGTAGGAGTCAGATGTGAGAATGGGCAGCAAGGCGGCAGCCTAGCGCCTGGCGCAGGCCAGGGCGTGGTCCAGATCTACACTGTTGCTCCCGAGAGTGCGGCCCACCAACCAGCAGCTGCTGCACCCGGGGGCTTGCTGGCCGTGCACGGTGTCAGGCCTACCTGAGACCTGCTGTGCATTAGGCAGGCCCCAGCGACTCGCATGCACAGAAGAGAAGCACTGGCCTAACGGGTAGGAAACAGTCGTGATTTCTTATGGCTCCAGCTACTACCTCGGCCCCTGACAATCCAGGCAGAGCAAAGGATATTGTCCCCATTTGACAGACAAGAGAGCTGAGACCTGGAGGCGGCCAAGGCCGACAGGAACCGCTGCTGTGGATGCCAGAGCCACGCCTCCTGGAGTGGTCAGCCCCGGCCTGCCCAGGGCTGGGCCTGGAGGAGCAAAGTCCGAAACCTCAGTGTCCTCCTCTATAGAAGGGGTCCCCACGCCAACACACTGCGGGGAGCGTGTACAGACGTGCCCTGCACGCCACCCCGGGGTCGCCCTCACATGGAATTGGGCCTTCGTTACTTTGCCAGCTCACCGCTCCAGAGCCCCCTGCCCCTGCCGAGCCTACGGGCTGAGGCACGCAGCGGGAAGGCAGAAAGACTGAGACGACTGTACAAACACCCTTGGGTGGCGCTTACGTCAGGCAGTAAGCAAACAGAGGGCAGCCCAGCGGGGTGACTAACCGTCTTAACAGTTGACTACTGCGGCGGTGGGCAGAGCGCTCCTTGGGCGAAGATGCGCCCCCTGGCCAGTGGGGTACATCCCTGCTGAAGCCAGGGCCTCGTCATCCCCGGGCCCCGTGGGAACACATTGCCCAAGGAAACCGGGCCGCCCTCTTCCCATACCTGCCTCCCTCGTCCTCCCTCCCCTTCGTTCTCCTCTGGGCTCTGATCAGACCTCCATTCTTCCTGGGGTGCGAACAGTGTGAAGGAGCCCAGAGCTCCCCCTGCAGCCTTGACCACATCCCAGCTGCTGGGCCTGGTGAATCCCTGCCCTCTGGGCCATCGATGAAGCTAATTCTGGAACCTCCCGCATTTGATGAGGGGGTTGACCTAGCGACTAAGTGCAGGTGCTTAGCACATAGAGAGTGCTCAGTAAGCGGGAGCTGTGGGGCCGGCTCCCTAGGACCAGGACCTCTCCGTGACCTGCCCCAGAGGGAGTGCCTGCAGGCTCATTGCGGACGAGGAGACTGAGGCTCAGAGAAAGAAAGCGACTTTCCTTAAGACCGCCTG